AGCAGTTTGTGGAACGTGTACTCGCGTACACCGGGAAACACTATCTGTTTTCATTGAATTTCATTGCAGTTGCGTTGTCGATTCGTGGGACAAGATATTCAGAAAGAAAGAAAAAGACATTAAACATGGTGAGATACATACCACTTTTGCGCTACTTTCACGGAAATCTCCGGAGAACATGGCCTTCATCACATCACATCGGGCAGTGAGAATCGCTTTGTGAGCTGGTACGCTTCCATCGTCTAGTTCGAATATCACGTCAGCGAAAAGTCCTGGAACAAATCACATTTTACGATGGAAATAATTATTATTAATTACAAATTAAGCTTTCTTATCTCTGATAAGAATACCTTGTTCTAGACAAATGTCTTCCAGACGTTGCCTCACCACTTGTTTATACCGATTGTTAAGATCGTTATTGAACTGGTCTCTTGTCTGTAAAGTTCCAAGCACCATCAGCAATTGTGGAAGCTCCAAGAATTCTGCCGCTTGTCTAATCTCCTGTACGTGAAAGAAGCTGAAATTAATTGACATTCGCACGTAATGGAAAGTGAATGTGAAATGAAAATTTTTGGGAATTCCATATCTAGGGTTATCAGCTGAAACAAGGTTGGCAATATGTCTCATGCACCCATGATCGATGAGATCCTCTATTTTGTTTAATGATCCTTGTATCTAAAAATATTTAAATCTTTTCTTCTTAATTATGTTATGTTATTATTAGACAAGGAACATGCTAAAATGACGACAGATGTGACAAGATGACCTGACAAATTGATTTTAAAATTCGATATTCTTCTTTAGCTAAATGTTTCTAGATTATGCGTGCGTGTAGCATGTGTTCATTGTGTGTATATATATATATATATGTGTGTGTGTGTGCTCGTGTCAGCAAACGTATTTCACATTGTACTAACCAGTAGAAGCCCGATAGGAGCTGTCTGAAAGAATAGAGCCGCGTTAGTTTCCCGCATACGGTACTCGTGTTTAAACTCTAAACTTACTATTTACATAAAGTATGTCCTCCGGCAAGGAAAATACATTTACTCTACGTCTTTATCCCCGGAAATGGTACAACCCACACCACTGAGTATACAGATATTACAAAATACTAATTATATAATTTTCTGTAATTCCTATCCACTGATCTAATTTCCTAAGAAAGATTAACTAGTTGCTTCCAAAGCTGTTTAGATAGGTTTACCACTATCACACTTGTACTGTATAAAAAGTAAATGCATAAATTATTGCATACATTTATTGTATTGTATAAATTATATAATCAAGTTATCTTTTTTTTGTTTAATGTAATAATGACGTCAAAAAAAGAAAATTAACGTAATAGAAGCTATCATATTAATCGGAAGAAGAAAAAAATTTTTTTAAATGGTCCACGGGTATACCTGCCCGCATAGATAATTCTACCGACGCAACGTACTTGTAGATCTTGATACCGTTTATCCAAGCTGCCTGTATAAATGAACTGCAAGCATTGCTGCATTGCCTGTGGTGTAATTAGTTTAGACAGCGTCACCACGGTCGTTGGTTGCTGCATTCCATTTGTGTTTTCAGTCTGTAAATTGATTGGATTATTATCATCATTATTATCATTAATATTATTATTATTATTGTTATCATTATCATTATTATCATCATTGTTATTATTATCATTATTATCATCAGTTATCATTATCATTATCATCATCATTATTATCATTATCATTATCATTATCATCATTATATCATTATCATCATCATCATTATATCATTATCATTATCATCATTATATCATTATCATTATCATAATTATTATTATCATCATTATTATCATTATCAATTTCATCATTATTATCATTATCATTATCATTATCATCATTATCATTATCATCATTATTATCATAATTATCAT